ATTATTACTGTGTTAGTATTAAAAGTGCATAATCAATAATCATTGAAATAATCGAGTAGTTATTTCTAGAGGAAAATATGTTCTTTGTTTTATTAAATATCGTTATTTTTCTGTAGTTTGCCTTTCACTATTTACTTTTAAATATTGCAATATCATGTTTTCAAAGTTAATCGTATGAATCTTCTTAAAAAATTTCCAGACCGGCGATTTGGGTTGTTATTTAATATTTACTTACTGGGTGTATATATTTACTTAATTTTAGATGATATAATATACTATGTGTGATAGAATTTCATCTTATTTTCTCTATTAAAAATAAATTATTCCTATTAACAACATAACATTAACATCACACCTTTTATCTCCGAAGGGGTAGGCAGAGGTGCACATTACGGCACTTAATGCCATTATATAATGTAATACCCACTTTCCACTATTTATGTTATGAGTCCCATGTAATAGGGGGTGAGCCTGTTGCCATATACCGGGCACATTTCCAGACTTCGTGCTACCATTGAGATTTTTAAAAAAACACTAATACTTTGCCCGACCCTGAAATCGAACCCGAGACCCCTTGCCCGGCAGTCGCACTTGCGACCATTTAGCAAATAAGGCATTTCAGTTTCCATTACCAAGAGACTATTTAATACTCTCTAATGAGTTCATGAGAGATAATATACTTAGTGCAAAATTATTTCTGTATACAATACGTGCACCACTACCTCAACTGGGAATAATATTATGTTATAAGTAATTACATATATTAAATTATTATAGTATAGGTAAATTTTACGATAATATTTAATTAATTTCATTTATATATAAATATTCTAATTTAAGATCTGAGTTACCAAATATATGTTGATCGGTAATGTCATTATCATTATTCATGTCCCTGGGACGCGCTGGACTTCAGTGTTCCGGTGTTTTCATGGTTGTATCTACTGTAGATCCTGGCTTACAGGAGTTGCAGCGATTTTGGGAAGTTTTGGCGGGCTTGTCCCAACAAAAAATGTCATCATCATCTTTATTCAATAAGTTAAAACAGTTAACTGACAGCATCACAAGGAGAATGTTTAAGCATTAATCACAACGATTGCTCAATGCGGGTTGGCATTTTCAAACTTAGGTATTACAAGAAATAATAAGTCCAGGTTTTCTCACGATGTTGTCCTTCACCGTTTGTCAGTGGTGTCTAAATAATCTTAGAAAGTACCTACACATAACTCGGAAAATGTCATATTGGTACTTGGTAGGATGTGAACCCATGCAGGAGAAGCGGGTGTCTTAAACCTCCGGGCCACTACGAGGTATACACACGTGCATTCATAACATAACATAACATCACGCCTTTTATCCTCGAAGGGGTAGGCAGAGGCGCACATTATACCACTGTACAATGTAACATCCACTTTTCACTATTTATGTTATGAGTCCCATGTCATAGGGGGTGAGCCTATTGCCATATACCGGGCACAGTTCCAGACTCCGTGCTTGCATACTTTGCCCGACCCGGGAATCCAACCCGAGACCCTTTACCTGGTAGTCGCAATTGCGACCACTCGGCCAACGAGAACACGTGCATTCCTAGCAAAATAACATTGAAACATAGATTGAATCGTTCGATCTAACCTTAGCGAGTCGCAATCGAAATAATGGGATTACTGGCATCGTAATAGAGGGGCCACTGGCATATATATTGCAAGTGTACACAAGACCGCAATACCGCGGTGTAATGATAGAATGTCCCCGGGCTGTGCACGTGATGCGACTGCCAACACTGCCGACCTCACCGCAACCCTGCTAACAGCATCATCTACTGTTCTGTCACATCTCTATAACATACATATTGATAACTAGGTTAACTTACTATTACCTACTTTTACCGTCAATCTACTGTATGATGTGCCAAAAATGAGTTAGGTACTCCAATCACGTTTACTGATTAATCATTTGACTGATTTTTTTTTAACCTGGCCCTACACTAGTATTGTCTCCTGTGTCGTGGGTCCGTTTACAAACATACAAGTTCACATACACATGACACCCAGACCCGGAACAACAGTCTGTAGATCACACAAATAGTTGTTCCGTGCGGGAATCGAACCCGCTACACGTTTCGCGGCAGCCAGTTGCCCAACCATCGCGCCAACTGTGCAGTCAAATTAAAAGTCAATTTAAAATTGACTAACATATTCCTCCTTATTTTTCTTTGAAATGTATTGCAAATGATCTGTGTAAAAATATCATGAATACTTCGTCAATCTACAAGAACACAGTGTAGCCGTAGGTAAACTTTATGTAAATTGCACTTAGAAAGTTCTTTACACGCTTACCAAGTTACTTACACTTCTTTTGCTAGAAACAGCTTATCAGAGTCATTGGCTGTAACAGGACCTACATACAAACATTTACAAGGCTCATATAGACCCGAGCGTTTCGCATCACGTCAGAGAAACGCTATAACGAACTTTTCCCGGCCGAAAGCCGACAACTTCTATAAATAATTGAACAGCCAACTTCGCTGGCGACTTCAGATGATAGTCTCGGCACTATATTATCGAAGAGGAATCGTTTAAGTGTTCCTGAATATTTGTCTGCTTCACAGGAGTTTTGTTAGATTTACATTTTTGTATTTATAGCTGTATCAATGTTAAAAATTACAATTAGTACTTACCTGGGCCTTTAGCCAAACACCACTTTAGCGCTTGTCTACAGAGAGAGTAGAAAACTAAATGTATGGGGATGACAAGTGTCAAAATTTACGTCAATTCCATATAATTTGGTTTTCTATTCTACATGTAGACAAGCGCTGAATGGTATTTGGCTACAGCTGCTGGTTAACTATGCATCTATATAGTTTGTTTCTAAAGTACAGTTAATAAAAAGAAATCACTAAAACATTGTCAATATTTTCGGGTCAATTTTAGAATTTACGATATCATTCGGTTTGTAGTATAAAATCAGCAACAATAAATTCTTATTAATCGAGGTATTCTTACACAGGTATGATATTTTATGTCACTGCTGCACGTTTGTTCAACAAATAAACCACATTTTTGGATAGTCCCCATGTGAAGGATAAACAGAACAAGGAAAATATCAAGCAGCTATAGATATTAACATCCCAAAAAACTTCAAAAGGAAAACTTGCGTGTTTTCACCATTGGTATTCTCGAAAACTTGAGCAGTTTCCTTTATCAGCCTCCTTTGTAGATCCTTCGGAATGAGCTATTAAATAAATAGCTAGTGGCCCTTACCGCACCGAATAAAAGAACACGACCTTCCCTCTATCGCCAACAATGTTCGCAATTGAAAAATAAATCGAGCTCCCTTCGAATATATTTGTTCAGATATTTTGACTGAGACCCTCGTCACATCCTTTGTATTCTACCTATAAACATATTCCCTATCCAATTTATTCAACCAAACCACGTCAGGTAAAAATAAAACACGAAATATTCATTTCACATATTGTTTATTTTAAAAGTTTTACGAAGTATTTGGTAACTCAAAGTATCACAAAATGAAAATCACAATAAATTAAAAATAAACATTTCAAAAAACAATAAAAATAATAACAAAATTGAATACACATCAATATCAAAAGTATAGGATTCAAGCTCGATGGGAATGTATTATGTAATTCCTATTTATGTACTTGTATAGTATTGTTTAAATAGTAATGTACTTTGGTATAAATACTGGAGTAGAAGCTCTGGTTGTATGTAGCGTGAGGGTCTAGCGTTATCACAGTGTTCGGCGATTAATACAGCGTGGTACGTGAACTACTATAATTAATGCAAATTTTACTTACAAAAGTCATTTCTTACTCCACAATATTTGGTATTTGTTCACTATGGATATATTTATGCCTAAACATAAATCACATTGACTAGTTCAACTACTTTTGTAAGTAAAATGATCAGCGTGAAAACTTATTCGAAAACATTAAAAAGTTACACATTATGCTATTATCCCGTACATTGTAATACTGAATATCATAAGACAATCAAATATTTCAATAGTTATTATTATTAAAACTCAGTCTATTTGCTTTCACAAATTCATTTAAAAGTTTTTTGATATGCGACTTTGTACAAAATGATATTTGTGTCCGCACAAACTTTGGGTTCATTTTAATGTAGGCGTGAACATACGACCCTTGTAAACGTTGTTGTGGTTAAAGCTAGTAACACACCGTGCGCGTGTTCCTATTGTTGGCTCACTCGCAAATTCCAATTATTGATAGATTAATGAAACTATCGGTTTGGTCCTCGCCAATTCACGATTATCTAAATTGGTTATATTTGAACCCAATTTTATCTAAATTCTAGAGAATTTCACTAGTCTAAAGAATTCTCTATCAATATGCGAATAATCCAGCATTTTTCGAATATCACATTACTAATATCAGATCATATTGAAATTCTAGACTGACTATATAAAGTTGGTTTTACTAGAATCAATAATACAGTTTCCATATTGGATCTAGATATACATGATGCTGCTTTATGAATTTCTAAAACATTTTCTTTTATTGTTTTCTTCAACTACCGAAAAGGTCACGACATTTTAACCAATTTTCTATTCAAGTAGATAGTAATACAATTGGGTACACAAAAGGAGGATTGAAGATGAGGACAGTGGGATTTACATCTCACAAAAGGAACATGCTCTAACCAAAATAACATTTAGGATACATTTAGAGCCTTGTCATACAAGCGGTGTCTGAGGACTGGCGAGAGGACTGACGACGGTTTAGGTAGGTACCTAATGTCGGCAGCCGTACATACATTTAGCTTAAGCTACGTTCAAAATGGGATCTTCTCGGCGAAAATCGGATAACATTGCATAATTCCTTGAGATAGAACGTAGGAGCGCTAGAGTTATAGGTGGCCATTTCGTTCGATTTTCTGTCCTAGGTACTATTGAGTCGCTCAGCTTTCCAAGACTGTTGAATTGATAAAGCTCTTAATATAATTGACGTAAGGTTGTGTTTACACTGGTGCCTTTGTGCAGGCGTTGATGTCTCCGATGCTCTTGACCCGTCGGTGTCGCTTCTGCTTAACCAGCGCGTCATCTGCTGACTTGGCTGGAAGAGGCGAGCTAACGCGATGAGCTTGGTCCGCTTTCTGTCCGTACCTTTAGAAACAAAACATAGCCATAAAAAACTAAAGTTTTTTTTAACAGCTCAGTAGCATTATTATCCACCTACTTAAGTTTATATCAAGTTTCTTTGTATAGTAGGTACTTAATATTATAACTGTAAGTGTGGGTGTACTAAGTTTCAGTGGCTTCGAAGAAAAACAATAGTTTAAAGTTACGCCCGTTGTGTAGGCGAGTGTAATGTTATTACTTCAGTTGATTTATTAAAGTAAATAATATTACTTACTTTATAAAAGAACAAAAATTTATCGGAAGATAGTGAGAAACATAGGACATACAAACTACAGACTTTTAAGTTGACATACCTAAAAACTTCATAGAGAAAATTATGCCACAGCTGAAAGTAAATTACGTACGTTGTCTCCCACTCTTTTGAACGTAATTAGGTCATCCAATTCATCGTAGCTTTAAAAACATAAGCTCTGTAAAAAATAAAAGCTCCGGGAAACTGGCCTTTCATTTCCCGTGATTTCGTACTTACAAACTTTTACATGGGTTGGACTGCTATACAATTTAATTTTGTGAAAAGCCCTTTACAAATACAAAAAGAAACTTTAATAATATAAAAGCTGAATTCTGTTGAGATTGCAAAAAATAATAAAAAATTGAATTTAAATAAGAATGGCCATTCGCTAACCATTGTTGATCTTACCGTCAATGCGGACCAAATTAAACAGAGAATTAAATTTATTATTTGCTGAGGTGTTGTAATTTTTCGTCTCTCATAATATCAAACAGTTAAAACGAGTTTGTTGAGCAGTTATCGTAAGTATTGGGAATTTGAACATCATTATTGACCTATATATTATTATCCGATAGGTTTATCGCCATTTGTGTGATATATTACTCCTATTACATAATATAAATGTGTGCGAACGACTATTTCGGGGAAAAGTTGTAGTTACATCGTAATATAGTGTTATATTTGAAGATCAACTTACCTATGAGTAATACTAGAATTTTCCTTGATATCATTCAGTCTGGTGAGGCTATCTCTGGTCGACACACTGGACTGTGAGTACAGGCTGAGTGGTGTGTATATCGGTTCGTACTCCTGCAACGTTGGAGGTGGCGCGTACGTCATGCTGAGCTGTGATAGAGTCCGCACAGCTATCGGTGGCGAGTATGAGATCTGGTAGGGCTGCGTCAAACTCAACACACTCGAACTTTCACTAGAACTCGACGGGGAAGTTCGCTCGTGCTTCGGTTTCAACACCCCTAGAGCTCGGGTTATTGAACCCTGGAAATAATTTTGTTATTATCGTTGTTATCCATGATATTGATAAATTTTCTGTGTCCTCAATATTCCGTAACTTACCCTCAAACTATGTCTCCTGGAATCCCCACTGAGGTCTATGCCTGGTAACCCAGTAGCAACTGACCTCGAGAACGGTCTACCCAACATCCTGATTTGGTGACCAAACAAGTTTCTGAAAACCAATTACAATTTGATTTCACTACACCACGGAAGTAGTACAAATTTGAGATCACATAGAAGCCAGGCAGCGCGTAGTTTGCGTTAGTTATGGTCGCTTTAATCTCTCAAATTTGCACTTATTTGTGTTTAATATTCGCTAACACAAAAAGCTCACATGCAAATTCTCTTTAATTTTATTTTACAGTCGCAATGTTGGACCTCACTGCTTTTATCCTAGCAGACAAATAAACGCAAACATTTTCATTTCCACAGACTTATTTCACTGGAAGCTACAAGAGACAGTTAATAAAAAGTGAATATTAATTTAATTATATTTGCATAGACATCAAAAGCATGATGCACTTTGCTGTAATGATACGAATCATGCTGATTGTGTACGAATAAGGATATAAATAAAAATATAATCACGAGTAGTATTAATGGATTGTATGACAACGAATAGTACTGAGTCCCATTATAAATACTGGAATTTAGAAGAACATGTCTTCAATAAACACATTGAAAGTATACAGTACTCTTCCTTGTGCGCTTGAATCAAAAGAACAACAACAATATAATCAAAATGTCGTAACTAAATCCATCAAGCACGAAATGTCAACGTGTTCAAATGGAAATATTGAATTAAAAACAAAACGTAACGTTACGAGGAAGGAGAAAATGTGGACAGAGTCTGATTATTATGTAGTGCGGACTAATGATGATGACAGAGAGGCATTCATGATGTATCGATAAAATGATCGTTACCGTTCTGTCTCGATGCAAGGATCGCCGAGTTAGGGTGTGATGGATAATAAAAAGAAACTGACTCGATGTCCCTTAGGTTATCTTTTTCATCAGGATTTATTCACATTTATAGTTCAATTGATATCGTTACAGGTGAACCTAATATACAATGTTGTCAACTTTACAGTATGAATGTATACAAGTCAAAAACATAGTTATCTTACAGTATTAGTAAATGCTATTATTGTTATAATCCTAAAGCTATGGTGATGGTTCCGTTTTTACACCTATGAGTATTCAATTGTAAAGGTTTTAAAATCCACGACATTATTACAATTATTTGAAAACTGTTATTAAATTGAAAGAAATCCTCATTAGTAAGTTTAGTGAATGCAGGTAATGGGATATGAGTTACCCCCTATGGATAATACGAAGCATTTCATGCTTATATCTTTATAATACCAACTAAGTTGTATACATTTACTAGTTTACGAAATTGATCAATATCCATAATTAACATTAACGTGACGAATCTAATCTACGGCAAGATCGGGACTCTAGGGGGTCACAATGTCCAACATTGAATCTAACACTGACGAAGGCGAAGGTACAAAACAAAATCACTGTGAACGTGTCCGATCGCTCCAACTTTTTGATAACCTTTACTTACAAACCACGATCCCTACGATAACTTATCAGTCTTCACCGCTCGTAAAGTTTTCCATCAAAAAAGTTTCAAAAAACGAGCAAGTTTGACGGTAGGTAGATACAAAATTTTCTTTCGCAAAGAAAATATTTTGTGTAAAAATAGCGAATTTACAAACATTTCGATACAGGAAATTTTACATAGATACAGGTTTGGGCACCGAAGCAATAATTTATTTTTTAAATGAGAGTTTTTTGATTTTCGTTGGTTTATCTTTGTTTTGTGGACAACATGGATGCTCGGGCAGCCTCCACTTGCAGTTCTTCCACCTGGCAAAATATCGTATACCTGCAGGATTGCACCTTACATTATAATCAACTACAGATGCTCACGTACGGGGGACTCGCTGGCCAGTGCCACTGTGTCACTGGTTACTAACTCACTACTCAGTAGGTACTCAATTACTCATACAAGTGGTTGCATGCAGAGTGCGTCTCACCACAACATCATTGCACTCGGTCTCCACTCACATACTTCATAGTATCACAATGCGTTATGGGACAAACATTCTAAGATTTTCTTTATGATACTGTGCTTATTATCACCAACAAACTGCTAAATATATCAATCAAGAATAGTATTTCATTCATATCATGTAATACAATAAGAAAATATAACATTCACCGAGACACGTATAAGTACAATTGATGAGAAACATATTGACTGATAAGTTGATCGATGTGATAGAACTCTATAAATATTTACCAAATTGGTGTCTGAAGTAAATATTATATTTTCTTGTTCTGACATATAAATGAGTGAGTGCTTGACTCACCTCGCTGGTATGACGAGAGCGTCAAATTCGGCTACCAAATGTCTTCTAATAATGCTCTTTGATGGAGGAATGCCGAGCGCGGTCGCCATTGTTTCTCCGGTGAACGAGGGCTCAAGTACCACGAGCCCACCGTGCACTCCACTGTCTGTTGTCATAAGATTATCAGCTATGTGATCAACTGTCCTGGTACGGATAACATTAGCAAATACACTACGAGCAACATACCTTTGAGATTATCCGCAAATTCACCTAAATCAATATTATGAGCCCATCGCATAAACCTCTGATTGGTCCAAACTAAGGGGTCGGCGTCGACGTTCTCGCATTGGTGCCGCCTGACAGCGAGCGCCTACAACAAACAAAGATTTTGTAAAAACTTAACGATGATTGATCAGCGCGGGTAATTTATAGCGCTGGAAATAAGAAGAGAAATAATAAACGTGATGTAACAGGTTTTTAGCTAACTGTCGACCAAGCAGGAGCGGAGTGCACGATGATTAATGGGTGTACATTACGGGGGCACGGCAATGCGAGACGGAACATTCTGTTCCAGCTCATTGGATAATCGCTCATTTGCTTTCCGTTATCTCACCCCACTTATCGGAAGGGACGTGGAAAGGTTTTCTCATTTCGAGCCACGCAATTTGTAAATGAGATGAAGAGTGTAATTTATTTCATTGTCATCTTTAATCTATCTTCATTCCTTTTATTTATATTATCAGCGATAACACTTCTTCCGTTTCAGACAGCGTACAATTTGAAGGGTTGATTATTTCTTTTGAAAATTGAAAATCGATTTAGGACTTACCTGTCGATCGTACTTCATTATTCTAAGCAAATGGATGCCATGTACGATAGAGGCCTGGTGGAACTTCCTGGTCACTCCGAGATATTTCTCCAGTTCCTTCTTGCTGATGGTGTCGAGCATGCGAGCATCCACTAGATTTGCCAGGAATGACTCGGCGTACTGTTGGGTAACATTTTATTTTCGGTGTTTTATTATATTTATAGAACAAGATATTATGGGCTACATAGCAATATTTGTGCAAATACCGCAATATTCGAATACCTGTGATAATCCCAAATCTGGCAGCCACTCGGCGGCGACCCAGGCGTGCGTCAGCTGTCCTATACTTGGGTTTCGGACAAGGTCTGGTCTCCTCCGCTCCTCGATGGCGAGCCTCAGCTTCTTGCGGTGCATTGGCTGCGAGATGCCCAGCCCCACCTCCAGGTCCGCGTCAGACAGCTCGAGCAGAACCTGCCCATTCAAAGCACGGATCTAGAACCAACCAGAACACAATATTTGACGCTTAATGCGCGTCTCTCGCTCTACTATATACACTCCTACCAAATTATGATGACGCTTATGAATTTGCGAACGAGTCACGACATAAATAACTTTTGATATTTGTTCGTGATATTCGTTTCGTGTCTTTCTTTGAAATGCCTATTGGAAAGTCTGATATCAATATATAAATAAGCAAATTCTGCTATGAATTTATCTGAGGGTGGTATATCGGGTCCTGATTTCCATACAGATGTAATAAAATGAGCGCATTCCGAGTAATGAATGGGCCCGTAGGTATGTTATGAAAATGCTTTTTTATTCCATTCATTACATGCGAAAATATAATCCGTTGTTTCATCCGAGAGTTATGACCGGCCGAAATGTAAACATTGATTTTAGCTTTTGAGTTGAAAGTAACCATTATATATGTGTATACCTATTTTGTCCAAATAACAATACCAATTGGTGGCATTCAATTTGCTAAAATATTTTATATTTTTAAATGAGAGTGGTTTTCTAACTTGCTAAATGGAGTACTTAATAGTTAATACGATTTGTGCTAATGCTGTTTGAAGCCTCATACGGTTAAACGCAACAGAGCATGAGTAACCTCGTTTCACTAACATCATTCTACTAACACTAGGTTTTATTATAGCATTCTAGTTTTTTCAGCGTTTTACGTAAGTATGTTCATATTTACTTAAATGTAAATTATCTGCCAAAGTATTTTATAAACATATCTTAACATTTGGAAATATAAAGGAATGGAAGATAAAATTATCCCTGATCAAAAAACTAAGCTAAGCGACCTAAAAACAAAAACAAACTGGCTTTTATCGGTAAAAACAAAAGCGTTGTGTTTACGAATTGATGAACATACTGAGCTGGTACGGAAGTCAGCTGTGATATTTGAAAACAATATACCTAGTGAGGGGAACTTCGGTGACACGTACTACGTGTGATGAATAATGCATTAGTGCTGTCACTGGCGATTTTAATGTCGGCGACATAGTTCAAGTACAAGTGCTTAATAATAATAAAGGTGCTGAAATGTGACGTCAAGAGTTCGCGTTGGTTTTGAAGCGTAAACATTCATTATGAAACTTAGTATCCTGTAATGAAACTACATATAAGTTTCAGAAAAATGTCATTGCTATTCATAAAGTCTAGTTTTAATTGAATCTGAAAAATATAACCTAACCGTTCCTATACTACTAGATACCGTACCTTACTTCATTCTGAAAACATTTTATTCACTTAATATTTAATTTTTACGACGCAATATAGCCATGCAGTGAATGCAGTGGGAAAAAACAAAGTCAGTTTTATTTAGTACGAACCTTTCCGCTCTTGACATTATCAGCAACTGCAGCAGCATACTGTGGCATTCCAAGCGCTAGTTCCAGCCACGCAATAATGGCGGGCGCGCGCCATCTTGAAAGTGGCAATGACGCAGCTTCCCTCAGGGCAGCCTCACTGCCCAACGGCGACCAAGCGCGAGTGCTACCAGTACCGGAGTAGATCGGCTCTGAACAACAAGCTATATTAAAAACATTGAAAACATTGATTTGTGACCTCATTAGGTCACCCGTAGGCTCCCTATGTTGGTACCTAGAAACACGAGGAAGTTATGGACAAATAGTGTGTACTTTGTGAGTGTAGTCAAGAAACAGACAATAAGCAATACAATAATCATGATTTAAGATTTAAAGCAGGCCAAAATATTCACTTTAAGGTATTCTTTTGTAAATCTGTATGTTCAAAGTAGTTGTGGTTACGATAAAAATGATGCATGGTACGTGTTTGTAGTGTTTCCTAAACTCACCACTCTCATGTCCGCTAATAGCGGCACTGCCTGACTTGGTGCGGTGCCGGGAGCGAGCGAACACTCGTGATATGGAGCCCCACGCTGAGCCGCGACCACGGGCTCCCTTACTACCCGCGCCTGATCGTCCACGTACTCCACCTAGCAAGGCTGCCTCACACTCACCGGGACTTGAGAGCTGTTCCACAGACCTGATAGAATACAATTTTATAGTTTGACTTATAGATGACTATAAATAGTTGAAAAGTGCAATACACGTCTATGCAAATTATAACTACCTATCTGATTTTTTATTTACACTTATTCGGATGGAATATTTTGAATTGAAAGTTCTGATTCGCATAATAAAATAAGGAAACAAAGGCTATCTAGACAATCTATAATCTCACAAAGATAGAATTAAGATTTGACACTCAATATAACGGTGCCCATTTTGCAGAGCGCCCGGCTTTCCGGCTCTAAAAATATTGCGAGATGAAAAATATAAAAGGTAGCCTGTGAACAGTCGTGGAAAATGAAAAAGAATTAAGCCGGAAGAAAATGTAATTTCGAGCAACTATTGCTGAATCGTTGCCGGAATCGTGTAATACTCGATAAATTTTACTGTCGAAATTCGATAATATCGCTAGAAATGATAAAGTGTCCTGTAAATGTAAGAGAATACCAAAATGCTAGCTCTAGTTCTTGTCATAGATAACGGCTGTAACATTTATCAAGTTATGGAGACCTTCGTAACGTCACGCAAATCTCAAAAAGAGTAAGTTGAGGTACAACATTTTGAAAGATATTTCGTTTGATGCTGGTTTCAGTGGTACGTAAATTGCCGTTATGGGTAAATTATGCTATGTTATTAATGATTAGTTTGTACACTTTGAGAATCGATTTCTTGTCAAATACTGTAGAATAAACACCAATGGACATTATTTCTTGCGAAACAAGTAAGATGGAAATGATAATACAAACCTAGATAGAGATCCAGCGTCGATGGAGCGTGTGAAGGGCGACGCACTGTTGTGTGGCGACAAAGTCGGGCTGCAGTCACGTGGTGTGCTCACTACGACAACAAGTTTACTTACAGAAAACATACATTCCATATGAATGGGCCGGCTCGACTCGAGCGATACCATGGCCTCACAGAAAACCGACGTGAAACAACGCTTGCGTGTTAATAATACTAAGCAAATATATTGTCGTGTGAGTGAGGTTACCGGTGGCCCAATTACCCGGGGGGGTCCCCAGTCTCCCCAATCCCCGGATTCCCCACACTCCTAAAATTCCCAATTCCCAAAAGGCCGGTAACGCACATGTAACGACTCTGGTGTTTTAGGTGTTTACGGGCGGTGCCGATTGCTTACCATCAGGTATTCCGTCTGCTCGTTTACCGACTTATCGGATAAAAAATAACACCTCGAAAAGTACCGCTTTCGGTAAACCTAATAAATACTTTTCTAAAGAACTTTCTACTTTTTTTTTTAAATACTTATTTCGAGAAACATGAATTCTAATATCGACTGTACCACTCATAACCAATGAGGCATAAATAAAACCCATCGACGATTTATGGAAACAAATTGAATAAAATACATCCATTACTGAATCGTATCAAAGGGAATGTCTACGTATTGAACCGCGTTTATTGTCGCCATTCTAATGTGATATGTACAATGTACACATTATGTATATGTAGTGTACGCGAAGCTTACAAACTACTTTATATTACTCAAGCTTTTATCCCCCGACGGGATAAAACGGGCCGATGCATCTATCGGAGGCTCGTGTAAGAAAAATGTGTTCGCCGTAAGTACCGAGACGAGAATCCAGTCTTTTTTATCAAATAAAAGTACCATTTTCGCAATCCTGTAATTTGAAGGCGTCTGAAGAACTCTACTATCTCTTCCATTATTGTCAACCAAAATATGTAAGGTTTTATTTAGACATTAAAAGAAAGTATGAACAGAAAAGGTACTGCAACAATGTTTTCTGTATAGAAAGTATTCTGTTAGATAGAAAAGACTTTGTAGTTCCACTATAGAATTTCGAATAGCAAAATAATAGTGATATCAAATAAGACCTTTGTTTTAAACTACTGACAAGGTGAAACATATCAAAGTAAAGTCATGACATAAACGGTCTAACAAGTTTGTAAAATAACATGGTCCGGAAGGATATTTGTTACGACCGGCGACCGACATACATTTTCAATACGGTCTTTGACAGTTCACGCAGGAATAGCACAAAGGTATTGGACATGTTTGTATCCGTGGAAGTTGACTTATTATTTAGCCATTTTGATAATATTCGTCCGTTCCTCGGTTAGAATAAAAGTATTCAATTTGCTTAGTATTGTTAAACTGTTGGGGGTTATCATAGGTAATGGATTCGCCATAATCTACAATAGCGAAAAATGCAACATGAGATTTTATTCGGAAAAAACACTTGTCATCAACAATCAACAAAAACTCCCGATCGCTTATTCCATTAGCAGATTTATACACAAAAGAAAATCACTTCAATTGCTACAAAGCATATTGAGTAAAAGCGAATTCCGATATTTGCGATATAAAACCCAATGAAATGAATTTGTAGCGATTATATAAAATACATGGTAAATTCAAATTGAATGAAGTTCTCAATTTCCGAACGATCGTTTTGCAATAGCGCTGTTTTCTAAAGTTTTATTGTTTGATGTTCGATGAACGTGGTTGGTAAAATACTATAATATTGACTGCTGCGTCCATCAATTTTAGTGGTTTAACTTTACACAATTTAGAATGCAGAATGCGTTGCAAATTGTTATTTAGCATATTGTGGAGTTCCATCATTTGCATTTAACAATGTTTCAATTCCCAGCCATTTTGTTGACTTCATTTTGTGCTACGATCGTTTTAACAAAAAACCGATAGCTAACAGTATTTTACTGCATGAAACATTAAAAAATAGTTTCAGTAATCGGACCTCTACACGAAAATGGGTAGATACATATGTATTAATCGAGATTATAGAAGCTTCAGCGTCCTGTTGATAGGAATAAAATTCTCAAAATACAAATCTAATTAATACTGTGCAATATGGTTTATACCGTAGAAGTATAACGTTCTCCATATAGCGAGTGATATCATTATGCTTGTTTTCAACATGAGCGAGTTGCAATCCGCTTTATTTTCCAGTCGAATCATGTAAATCATATTTCACTTCATAACAACAATTCCATACGTCGCGTCGCTAAAAGGGATTCATTTAACTTAAACTCATCAAAAATTAACAACGGAAATTCGACATACAGATATTTGTATCTATACGCAATATAAAGCGGATTTTGTACTTAATAAAAGACTTTTTGTTTTATTATCGTACCATGGCGCGGGTCGAAATTGTTGGCACAAAAGGAGAATATTATATGCTGCGATACATTCGCTAATCGGATTAAAATAAGTATTTTCGTGTAGGTATATTATTTTTGGCCTTTATTCTGTGGAAATTTATTTTATTATGTACCTACCCATTATAACATTTTAATGATATTTCAGTTTCAGACTGCCTCGTTGGCCGAGTGGTCGCAAGTGCGACTGCCGGGCAAGGAGTCTCGGGTTCGATTCCCGGATCGGGCAAAGTATTACTGGGTTTTTAAAAATTCTCAGTAGTAGCACGGAGTCTGGAACTGTGCCCGGTATATGGCAATAGGCTCACCCCCTATTACATGGGAATCATAACATAAATAGTGAAAAGTGGGTGTTACATTGTACGGTGGCATAATGTACACCTCTGCCTACCCCTTCGGGGATAAAAGGCGTGATGTTATGTTATGTTATTTCAGTTATCATGTTGTACTTACGTTGATAGATATGGTGTGCGGATGAGACGAGTGATGCTGCGTCAGTGTCGTAAGCATCTAGTGTCGGCGGAGCGCCTTCAGCCGTAGAGTCTGATAGATTCCCACCACATACTGAGGTTGCACCGCCATCACTGCTGCCTAATACCACAGATCAACCACTTTTAGTAAAATATATTACACACTTTATTTAAGGCTTAAACTTAATGTGGTTGTGTGCCAAACGATAGATTAATGAAAAGTCAAACGAATTCCCAGAACAGATTATACTAATATTTTCTAAAGTTCTTTTTGAGATTGGTATAAGAATCATACTGTGTTTTTGTAAACAATTTTGTTAGAATATAATCAATTTCATCCATAAATTAAACCTCTATTGCCATTATATGTTCATAAGTATTTAACTATTGTTCTGTATATTACCTCTAACACCGGAATCAGCACTGCAGCTGCCTCTGTCCCCAATGAGCCCCGAAGGTCCTCCCAACATCATAGGTGGTCCCATACCGAGTGACGCAACACTCTCGCCTTCTGACAGACATCCTGCAGCTTGTAACTGTCTCCTAGCCTATGTAAACAAATGGGTATACTGATGTTAAAAAATCCGTAAAAGATCAAAAACAGCGAAAGAGAAAATTATACAATATATTCAAAAAATGTTTGAACTACTTTTATATGTAGAACAGTCTAACTATTAGCATTGATGGAGAACCATCAGTATACATCTGTGTAAAAACAGCACCGTTATAGTCAATGTGTAAAACTTTTCAGATGAAAAACAGAAAACAAGCACTTTACATGACGACACTCGTAAAAATAATCCGGGAATCATATTTCACAGTTAACACTGAAACTTACATCGGACACATATGTTCGAAGCAAACATTACATCCCAAACACGATTATAGTTATACCTCCGTCGCAACACCCTTTTAATGCTTCAATTAATTTCGATTGGGGCTTTAATTTGGACAGGATTTGTCCGCTTGAATGGGACATCCCGCTGCGAGCCCGCATCAACGTAATGGTATCGAATGTTCCGCGGTCGCAGGTTAATATCCGGATTATGCGTAACGGAAAATTGTATAATAACAACCGACTTATAGTACTAAGTCGGGGAAACAGTTGCGTTTAATTTTCCCTGCAATTTAAATCAGAGGGAGCAATTTGAAATGGTAATTAACACGAGTGATGGATGGTCTCGCTCCGAGCGCACATCACGCTACCTATTCATCATAGCAGTGAGCTGTCGATAAAAGTTTATTTATTATTGGTTGAAACACTTCATCACTGAAATTGTTCGTCAAAAACAATTTTGTTTAATATTGTTTATTCTGTTTCGAATGGTGGGGTTTTATTAAGTGAAATTCGTGAATTTGTATTGATAATTTTACAGTGGAATTAAATACGCAATTGAGTGTAGTGAATACTATCAGTCAACCGAATTAATAGTATTTCGTCATTCGTCATACGTTCGTCGAATAATAAACCGAAGTAACCGAAGACTGATTCACGACTGATGACGAACAAATTCAGTTAAGTCCTACAATTTATACCATTATATAAATGCCCTACCTCAAAGAGTTGTTCTCGAGCGTGTCTCAGCTGTGTGTCCCGAGCACTGAGTGCGGCCGCTAGTTGTAGAGAGCGCTCAGCTTCATCGCGAGCATGACGCAGTAACGCAGCTCGCTCCCGCTCACGCTCAGCTCGCTCTGCTCCTAAAGCTGATGAAGCTCCACCCCGCGAACGCATCTATACAATCATATTTTATGTTTTAATTATAATACACCACAATGTATAAAATAAATTAAATTACAAAAATATTCTCTGAATCTCACTATGTTTTGATAAAACTACGTTAAAAAAATCGACTTCAAACGATTCGTTTTTGAAGTCGGTTAATTAAAATACTAAAATTTTCTTCAAAGTGCTACGCTTTTTCCAAAACCTCATTAAAATCGGTCCAGCCAATCGTGAGATAACCGCGCACAAACTCATACATACACAGATACAGGTCAATGTGAGATCCTTATTTCTTTTCTGAAGTCCGTTAATAATAAGCCTCTATTACTGAACTAAACGTATAACATATATAAGATGATACAAATATATCATACAAAATTGTAAGTAATTCTCTCTTAATAACTGTTGGGAAAGTACATAAAGAACATAGTTAGACCTGATGTATTCCTGAAGACTTTATTAAAGTCAAGAAGTTCATGAATAATTATTCAAGTTAGTACTTAATAAAAAGAGCAAGGCTAGCAGACTCATCGTAGCTGAGAACAATGTAGGATAATAACTTGAGATATGCGAGCATTCACCGAGAAGTTTCTGTATGTGTAAAATTCTATAAGCTTGGAAACAAGTAGGGAAGTTCTGTATGACCTAGATCGTATCCGAGCGTAACGAGCCTTGCAAACGTGGCTAGATCAAAAGATATGGCATAATAAATTAAGTGACCACAATGTTGGCTACAAAGTAATGACTACGTTAATGATACTGAAATATTTTGTAACAAAAGGCTGACCCCATTAACTTTTTTCATTTTGGGACCCTGCGTAAGTAACAAATTCTTTTACGTGACAACGCATTTCCCTCGCTCCATCTAACAACATTACTGTATTACTTATTATACGAATATTCGCGTTTCATAATACACAAATTGCTTTTCACCTGTTCATAGTTTCTTATGAAGTCTCGGAGCTCTTTCTCTTTGTCTTCGAGAGTGGCGTAGAGTTGTTTCATTTGGTTTAGTAAATCAAATTTCTCAGCTTTCAACCTCTTTTTGTCTGCTTTCAAAGCTGAAACAAAATGTATAAACTTTATACAAAGTCCATTATGAAGTAAATTTAGATTTATGAAACATACGGTATAAGATTATAAATTAGATATTTAGGTAGGTAAGTGAGATGAAACAATTTCATTTTGAATTACAAGGGTATTGGGGGTCTCATGTTTGCGGGCTTGTAAGCGACAAGCTTGTATGTAGAGTAGCTGTACAAGCAATGCATGTCTCAATCCCGAGTGATTCAGAACTCTTTGAGCAAGCTGCTCGCTTTGGGGGCCTACGTCCTTTGTCGCTCCGCTCTCTATGCAGATCCCCTCAACTCGGACATTTGTACGTTTCCAACGTTTGATAGGAAAATAAAACACATCCCAGATTGATCTACATTTTACCGTTTTTGCAAAGCGTCCAGAGACCTGTCGATCGTTTTGGGAATCCCATTACTTTGAAAGTTTGAAAATTGGAATTTGGTTCCGCGCGCAGATTTGGTAAATTTTCATGAATTTTTTACTCGTCATCGGTAGATAGATTTTTGAAATTTCTAAACTTTGATGTTTATTGACGAGTGCAATCATTACAGACACTGATTACTCATTCATAAGGCTTGACCCTATCATTACTTTTAAGGCATTTACTAATAAATATAATAGTTTCAACAATACCATTTCGATTATTTAGGTTAAATCTGATTAAACCTAAACACGAACGACATGTACTTTGTATGAGAAGATTTCCTCTACTGGGGATGGTAATAGAGTTGTACATTGCTACTTAGTTTATGGATTGATGTGGTTTATGCGTAGGAAGGCAACAGGCCTTGATTGTGGTTTCATCGATCACGTGGAACAGTTGGGTACATAAGGCAAACATATTAGATGTACCTTTGTTGGTACCTACCACAACTCAAACAGGGAGCCTTGTTGTTCTCTTTGTTCTTGTGTTTGGGTCTACCTATGTATTTAATGCAGAAAATAGAACCTTACGCAACATACATTTTTGTTCAAAATATTAGTAATATATGTTTGTTAAGCGCTTTAGCGAACTGAGTCGTGACCGTCATAAATGTCAAATAAATGACGAATACAACACGAAATGTCTACGTGCTTAAAAATACTAACTTCCACGGAACATGACTTGACAGAAATAAAAATAAAGTTCAGCACATGTGAGAATTAAACAAGTTTTGTGACGAGACCCACGCCACATTCGAAGTCGGTATACGGCTTATTTGCTTGATTCAGTCACTGAACGTGACTTCATTATTTCGTTCTTGTCTTCGACGACCTCGAATAAAGACGAAATAGGTTCCACTGAGGTAAACGGTAGTCTAACTTGGCATAACATTTCCAATTATAATTGAACAATTTAGTTCAATCTTAGTCACGAAATTACATCAGTCTAATTGGCTACACTGATTCGATGTAGTTTTAAAAATGAGATCTAATGACTTGATATCACGATTATTTTCTCCAAAGCTAAATGAACTCTAACCACAAAAATTATTACTAGCAATTGGACGTCCGGTAACCTCACTCACATGACCAAATACAACGCAAGCGTTGTTTCACGTCGGTTTTCTGTGAGGCTGTGGTATCCGAGGGAGCCGGCCCAATTCTTGCCGAAGCATGGCTCTCCCACAGATTTATAAATAGGAAGCATATTTAAAAAAAGTAATTGTATTAAAGCCACCTGCACCTAATGCAGATTTTTTTTAACATAAAAGTATCAGAATTTAAAAACTTTAATACTCAGTATAGAACCGTAACTTCAAAGGGCTAAAGATGATTGGACTGGCGACCTAGTTATCCGTTTTATGGCGTCCGTGAAATTAGGCCAATGGATATTGAATACTGTGGCGTATGTAATAAAATGAATAATATCCATAACTGCTTCACAACTTAGATAATTTGGACAAGTGGTTGGTTATGACGGTTAAAACTTTTAAATTACTCATTTAATGCTTCTTTACATTAGGATAGTTTTAATGCAAATATGAATCTTCTTTGCGAGTAAAACCTAATAAAGGCTGACTTTAAACACAGTCACGGCGCAAAATTAGACAGTTTTATTCAACGACGTGATTAATGATAGCAGAAGCTCATTATGCTTAATTTCTCTGATCTGTGGCAAGTCTAAGCAAGTATTTATCATTTTAATGTCTTAAAGTTCTTTTGTCATGTATCAGTTTTATGGACTAATGTTACTAGGTCACTAGTACCAATTATTACTAATCCCATGATTGGCCTTCTGCAAGGACAGTGGCGCATGATATCTACAGTTTTATCAACCGTACAGTCGTTATTTGACACAAAAAAATTGGTAGCATTTTAATGCCCAAACTTCGGCGAGAATAATAATATAACTTCAAGCTCGTTGAACAAACACAATTATTCAACTATTTATGTTAGCATGTTTAATGTATACAATCTGCCAAAACATGCCAGGGGCGCGTTTCTGACAACTTTCGTCAGTGTAATGACATTAGTGGAAATGTCAGTCGAAGTTAGAGAAGCACACCCTTACAGGGACGTGACCCGCTTACTGATTTGGGTCTGTAAGGCAGTGTACCTTGCGAGATATTATGAGCATAGTTTATCAAAATGTCGGCTTCCTCACGCTTCTCCCGTATCGGGCCGCACTCAACAAATTGCCCACTTTTGCGGGATCGAATCGGATTATTAAGATAAAGTCAGTGTAGGTGGAAGTTCGCTCTATATTCGGATAGAAAATGCCTATTTAAAGTAGTTTAAAAATTCAGGTAACTAGAAAAATTGTCTTTTGAATACAGCTATAAAAGAAAACAGAGTTACCCTAAGTAAGTCAATTGTCAAGCATGAAAGTTTTAACAACCAAAAATTTTCTACAAAAATCAACAATAAAAATTGAATACAATTTATCTTCGTTATAACTTCACACTTTTAATATTCGTAATGACTTTTTAATGTATTCGAATGTCGCCATAACAGTAAATTCGATATGTAACTTCGCTTTAGTACTGGTATTAATGTGTTTTACAAACTAATGCCATAAAAATATAATGGCTAGTGTAATGTCACCATTAATTTCTTTAGGAAAGTAATACCCGACATAAACGCCGACCATTACGTTTTTGGGTAAGATCTAGTTTGATATATAATATGTTTAGAACTGTTTTCTCTAGGATAATAGGGATATAGCTGGACATAACACATGTGTCGCCGTAACTTGTAGGTACATTATTTGTAAAGATAAATACTTAGAAGTTTTGCGAAAACTAGGATTCCCTATTAACAAGGTCATGTTGGGTTTCTATGGAAAATAATGTAATTCGGTACCTATTGTGTATTTGCTTAAATGGTGACAAACATTACGAAGGATTTAATCAAAGATATGATTGAAAACAAATTAATATTAATGGGATTAATATAAATAGCGGTCATCTAACAATAAACCTAATTCACAACATAATAAATACATTTTGTTTATGGGGTAAACGAGCAGACGATTCACCTGATGGTAAGCAATCGGCGTCGCCCATGGACACCCAGAACACCAGGGGCATTACAATTTGAGGATTCTTAGGTATTGGGAAGATAGGTAAGGGGGGGGGGTCTTCGGTCACCTCATTCACATGACGAAACACAACGCAAGCGAGCAAGACCTTTTATTTTGAGTGTAATTGGTGCACACGTTCATACATTGTATGACCATGTTTTAAGTATTCATGGTTTCATCTAGAAGCGTGTTCAGGAAGTTATGTAAGTGAGCCAGAATCTTCGTACTAACAGGCGTTAGCTTTTGCCCCCGTGGGGATGTACGTGGCATAATGCAGATTATAAATATTTTAGCGAAATGTATATTAGCCTTATATTTATTACAAATATTATTATTCAATTAGAATTCCTAATGTTACGTATTGAAAATATGATTTTATAATAGAAATGACGATTAAATGATTAGAAATTAATTGTAATCGTCTACGTTTAATGATATTCTATCATTTAGTACTTTTAAAGAAATTGTATCACACACACTCATCTATGAGATTGTTGTAACTCTGTCGGGTTATATTAAATTAAAACAGAAGACTGCACATTTAGTAGGTTTAATTACAAATCAGAATTAAAACCGGCGCGCACCGACACAAAGAAATGCCCGAAAGCTTTGGCGTGAGTTAGCGGAGTGTGTGGATGAAGTAGCGCGGCGCTCGCGCCCCCATCCCGCGCGTCGCCGCCTCTGTGGTCGATGGCCATACTAATGCGCCGACAAGATAATAAGTAAGTTTATATCTAACTAGCTGTTACCCGCGGCTTCGCTCGCGTAACAAAAGGATAAAAAGTAGCCCATGTGACATATACCAATACACACAGCGATACACAGAATATCAAATTTTTCCGGAATAAAAAGTACCATATTATTTAATCCAGACTTCTAACTTCACGTCTGCATAAATTCAAAGCAATCGGTTTAGTAGTTACGCCGCGAAAGTGGAACAAACAAACAAACAAACAAACTCACTTTCCGATTTATAATATTAGTAAGGATTATAGTATCTTACTAGCTTCTTTGGCTTTACCAGCGGTTTTGCCCGCGTTCCAATGGGATAAAAAGCTGGCTATGTGTTATTCCATACCATAATCTACCCCTGTTCCAAATGTCACCTTGATCGCTTCAGCCGTTTTAACGTGAAGAAGCAACAAACGAAGATACAAACTTTCGCATTTATAATATTAGCTGGTCAAGATCCAAGTAGTCACCGATGACAGCTCTCCTCTTACACCATTACATACCTTATTTCTGATAATTAGGGACTACTTTTGTATGAACAAATGTTGTGTATTTTTCATAATCGGACATTTACGAGTTAGTAGGATAGTAGGATTAGTATGAAAATAGGATACTGCTGGACTATGGTATGCCTGCTTTCTATAAAATGGTTTTGCCACAACAGTAGGTGGGTTTGCAGTTTAAAAGGTTCAGATTTATCAGAGTGCTACTGTTTTGGTCTCTGTTACATATTATTATATTGTTATGAGGTCTCTTAGTCAGCTTTCACAACATACGCAGGAATTATAGGGGAAGTCATAAATGGAGATAGGTGGGAACTTGGCGATGGTAAATGTTACCGTAAAAATCTGTAAAGTAAAGCAGTAATCACTTACAGTTAACAGCTTCTCTAGCTAGCAGCAGTTCTTTCTCCAGCTGTTGAGGGTCTAGTTGAGGTGCATCCTGTGTGTCGGACTTGGCTCGTTCCAGCAGTGCGCTTCCAGCCTCTCCTCGTTCAGCTGCCGCTACCAGTAGACGACGGACACGTGTGAGCTCGGCCTGAACAAATGTAATCAAATAATATATTATTTACTTAGAATAAATAATAATTCAGTTGGAAAGAGAACTGACACGCGTCGGCGAGCAGTGGGTGTCGCAGGCTTAACTTTCAGCTCATGTCATAGTGAATCTAATTCAGTTGTATAAACATGTGATGTAACATCTATTACAAGAATATAGTAATAATTTTCAAATTCAACACTCCACGCGGCAAGCTTAAAAGTAAGCACTCGGACTGGGTCCTGAATCAATATCATGAAATAGTTACGTATGAACCTAATGGAGTTCCCAAAGGGCTTTCGAGACAGTAATAAACCCCGTATCTTACATAACATCAACCTAAGTCCGGCCGAGTGGAAAAAGGTTAAGTAAAAAATTGATCCTTGAACGCTGCGGGAATCACTAATGACAGTTTATCGGAAAATTACACCTTTATGACCATCTATTCCACTATTTTTGTAATTTACTTTTATGGGAACATCGCCCATTGAGAGCCTGGGAACTATTAAAGAGTAAATAAAAAATAACGTACTTTCTCCAACCTAATGTTGGAGTTGGAGACGAAATTGAGCCTACTTTCTTGTATTTTAGAGGGTTTTCAGGTTTACAAACAACGCCTAATGGTGCGGATATGTGTAAAAATGGCTATTGCTCCTACTTAAGCCACGTAACAAGGAGAAAAGGAAGAATTTCCTAAGAAATAAAAAAATACACAGACTTCATAAAAATGGGAACCAATTAAGGTTAAACAGAAAGTAATCATGAACACAAAATAAATTCTAGAGATAAACCAAATTGAACGGCAAATACTAAGCCGGTACCCCAAAATGGTTCTTATAAGCCTATTATTACTGTACCTGTAATCTTTCATTTTCCATCCGGAGTCTCCTGGCTACCTGTGCGGCGGTGAGCATCCCAGGGGACGCTGGGACTTCCTCCTGCCGCGACCGATCTGAACGACCGCCGGGGGAGGCCGCGTCTGTACCATCAATAACACCATTTGAATAAACGATACATCTGCGTTCACTAGAATCACCTAATTCATTCATCAAGAAGAACATTTCATCACGCGATTAATGACTATAGTTTTTATCCTCTAGTAGACTGAATTTACGACCAAACATTTGGTTTTTACCGTCACACAACGTCAAAAGTAATTACCAAAATGACATCCCTATTCAAAATGATTTCGTGTCTTTTATGAGAAATATATTGCTTCACACGGATTTACGGCTGAACGCGAGTTAATTAACGCCTGATTGTGTGTAGTGTGTATACTGAATACTGACTTATTAATTTACGACAAAACTTTTTTGTATTATCTGCATGGATATACAACAAATCTTTCATGCTTAACCAATCTACTACAAATGAGGGTAATCACATCTAACAAAACAAAGAAGACAAGTTAAGCAATCATTTTTATTATTTTGCGTGAACTCGTCTTATTAATCCGATCCTCGTTTAGCCGGTGTCATTGCCATGTTTGTAGGTGTACTTTTACAAAGTTGAATCCTTGTTTAGCGTTCAAGGGCTCACGTTGTAACCCTCATTATTAGCTGTCGTACTATAATATGAAAAGTTTTGTAAAGTACGGTGCCACCGCACTCATATAAATGGAATTGGTTATGGCGACGTAAACGTTGTAATAACGCGAAAGTTCCCCGAGTCACGAAAGCCGCGACTCTGGCCGGTCCAGACAAATCGATTGCTCGCATGTAACACGCGTCACGGCACGACGGCAGGTGTGCGCGACGCCTGCTTTATTGTGCCATCGCTCTCAAAGTGACGTATTGACTTCGGGAAAATAACGCTTTCCCGACACCAAGTAATTATTCTCTACCAGACAACCTCTAATTCCAGGGAACAAATGGAGTGAGAACGCGCTCGAGATCTACTGTCTCACATTAATAAGCGTACGAGTCCCGCACTCGGATGCGAGAGGAAAAAGAAATAATAAGCTCTAAGATTAGTAGTAAATGGAGCAGTGGCAAATTGGTCGCCGAGCGCCGGCTCTATTGTGGACAAATACAGACAGATTGCAAATAAATTATGCTTGGACGCACATTGTCCTATGATCCTATTATCCTGCTTGCTCTGATAAGTCAATAGGGTGAAGCACTGCACAATTGTCTCAGGGAACAATTGCTACGGTTGAATTCACAAGTTGTCCTAGATGCCGTCTGAGTAATAGAAGCAAGTGGCTCGAGGTACATGGATGTTGTAACTGTAGCAGCATTATTACAGAAAATTCAAGTAGAAAGACTCAAATAGTTACTTAAAAAACAGCTTACTAATTAAAGCACTGAGAAAGGAATTAAATGACAAATTGCAACATCAGGCGGAAAGTTTCTTTCTGGCGGAGTTGGCTAGCTGTGCAGTGTGCAGTTAGTCGGCAAATGAGCTTATTCCCCAAGGCTGCGCGCTCATTAGCAGCGAGGATATTCTGCAGAGAACGGCCCGCACAATATATGGATGTTTTACCAACACATAGTTCGTGTCACCTCCTTAGTTGCGATGAGGAAAATATTAATTTAGTTGCACTTGCGCTTACCAGCTTTCAACAAATTGACTCAAACGAAAATTCATGGAAAAGCTTTTAGAGACTTGAAGCACAAACGTAACGTAGTATATGGCTGTTGTTTTGTATTTATCAAAGCTGAGCGCAGCGTCCAATACATTTTGTTTGTGAGTTTTTAAGAGAATTTCCAGCTTAATTCGACGGTTTAAATACAGTCGCAAATGTCCATTACTAAATTCAAGTGTCACTTGTTTATTCAACGAAAACGTAACATTTACCTAAACTGCGATGGCGGAATGTAACATGTTTTGCGTTCGTGTATTATAGAGTGAAGAGCCTATAATTGTATTCAGCGTGTGTTGCCTCAGACAGAGTTCAACGACGCTCGTAATATTCTCAGCTTGTAGCCGCACCTATGAAGAATTTCAAACTTACTCTAACTAACTTCATCAACAAAACAAACATGCCGTCTCGACTAGTTACGAACTATTATCTCTTGGATTACAGACTCTTAAGACAAACTCTAGCCGCCAAGTTTACCTTATCCTCAGGCCGCCTTGTTTTATTTCATAAATAATTGGGACGAATGTAGATAGATAAAAGTAAATTCGTTGGTGCTTTATTTATATTTGGTAGATCGAACTAACCGGGCTTACAATGTTTGGATAATGAGTGACAATTTGACAATCATAACTTCGGAAATGTTTAACGATAAACTAAGTGTCCTGGATTTCAAAAAATCAGTTCATAAGTAATGTAAAGAAGATTAAAATGTACGTACAAAATGAAATAAATATTTATTGTATCTTACCTCCTTCAAGTGTCGCAGTAATATCAGCTCTTGGTTCGGGACCGTCGCTACTCCTGCCTGGTGACGTGGCATCAGGGAGTGGAACCTCTTCCTCTGAACTGTCGGCGGGATCCAGAATATTCCTCTCGCTGGTATGACTGTTACCTCCATTGCCTATTTCAGCGTAAGTTCCACTGTCGCTGCCGTTTTGTGTCGACCATTTCACCGGGGACTCTAGCTTGCCATTCGCCTGGTTTTCTTTATTGTCATCGTCTAAGTACAAAAATAATATGAAATTAGCTATCTGATGATTGAAATTATAGAGCTTTTGATTTTTATTTAGTATAAATGTGTTTCAATACAAAGTAACAATACTTTAATGGGGATGATATATTTAAAGTAAATACAAATGAAATGTAAGGGAAGGGATTTACTCAATAAACTTCGCAGATTTTGTGAGCTTTTCGTGTTTGACACACCATCCGGGTAATTTAGATATCTTTTTTGCTGATTGAATGTAATTGAAGCAAACAACATTATGGAGAATTCTTTTGTAAGCGTAATAAGAGATTCAATATAACTATAGTACAAAGTGTCACGTCTCAAAATTAAACTCTTCCTGGCATCGGATATATATTTGATATCAACAAAAACAGAAAAGGAAAATCCAGTAGATTTGTCTCACACATGCTTCATCACAATCTTTATGTATATAAAGATGCTACTCGTATAGGAAAAGATTTATTGTTCTCAGTACTTATGAAACCATCTAGTTTTCATTAGTCTGCGTTCTTTTCACATTGAGCGCTAACCCTTCGTACAGTTGACAAGGATCGTAGGGTTGTGAGTTGGGTGAGCACATGTTGATTATGTGCGAAGCTGGGTATGGTCTTACGAATAATAATGGTACCACATCTTACCTATGAAAGGATTATCCTTCCCGTTTCTTATAGACAGTCTAGTGGTCCTGTTGATGGTGCCCTCCTTGTCGACGCTGAGCCCACCGTTGCGTTTGTCCAGGGTGCCGATGAGCAAGCGTCGCTCGGGCGGCACGGGCCGGTCTAGCTCGGGCCGCTCGAGTGCTGAGCTGGCTGGCGTGATCAGCGGGTCAGCCGGCTCCGGCTCAGCGTCCGCGTCAACCCGGGCGCCCACCGATACTTGCTCGTCGACCATTTTGCGGAGTTTCGCCTGTTTATACACAATTCGGTAACTACTCTTATTTTAAAAGTTTAAGAAGTGACCTTACTAATATTTCATTCAGAAATAAGTATTTATAGGAGAATTGTATTTAATGTTATGATCTTCTAATAACTGCAATCACAATGACCTATGTAATTTGATTTATATATGTATTGTCCTTTGCGTTGTATGTGTGCATATAAATAATAAATAAATAAATGCTAATAATAAAAAATAGTATACTATACAACAAAAACACTGCTAAAGATTGTGAACTTTCCCACCATCTAAGTATTATCTAAGTACTAGTACTAGAGCGTGTGTGGTGAGAAAGACACCTAACCTATTTGTGAACGTGTAAGGTAGTACTTGAGTATTTCAGCTTGAGCACTGCAGAACAATCTACGTGACTATCAACTGTGTGGCTAATTTGTTAAATTAATTAATTGATGTGTGCTTCAATCATCCGCCATTTACATTCTCACCACAAACGATGTGTCGGTGTGTCATTATGCAGGTGTGCTGGCTTTCAACCTCAATAATGAATGGGTTATAAATTCCCAGTAATCCAGTTTATTTATCAACACAGTTTGAGAACAACAGCGATATATTTTGGCCATCCGACGACGCTATATCTGTAGCTATTAATCTGAGCAGACCCCTCTTGCTTAGTTAATTCACCTGCTACCGTTTGATGTAATGGTCGTTTAAGTCTGCTCGTCGTACCGTGCGGCCGTGGGGGTATATTTTATGACAATAGAGTTTTGATAACTAGAATACTAACATAGTAAAGTGAAACTACCAGCAAACTGGGAAATATTTGGTTGGGTAACGTCACTTCTATTCGTAAAATCACGATCACAGCCTTTTGTAACCATAAACTTTTATTATCCAGCATGCAATATGTTTACCTACTTAGTTTCATTCACTTTACTACACAAATAGCTCGCGTGAGCAGACACGTCGCACGTCGGGTTATTGTGCACGCTAGCCACATGTCATGTAGCAGGATGTTGTCAAGAGTTTCCCGTTAAACGGTCTAACAATGGGTTGTCGAAGTGTGGCGTGCGCTAATCGTGCATGCGGTCGTCCTCACCTGGGCGTCGCCTAGTATGCGGCGCACTAGCGCCATCAGGCCGCCGTGGCAGGCGCTGTCATGCTACCCTCCCCCTCCGCGCTGCCTCATTGTCTCCGCGTGACACCTGCCACACGCTCGTTACACTTCCTATTCACCACTAAACTTTCAATACAAATTGAAACTATTCCACTTTGCCGAGCGCCCCCTTTGTCTCAGCACTCCACTGACAGTCCGGAATGAGGACGTCGCGTCCCAGGAATTATCTGAAACAAACATATTTCATTGTTAACTTCATGATAGAGCAGCCGCACTTGTTACACTTTGAATTAACTTGCTCGTGTTCATAAACGTTTTGTTGTTAGAGTTTATAGTGTGTTGCAAACGTATCATCCACATAAGTTGTTACCATAAAACAGTATTACCAGTAGAAACAAAATTCAATGTAATTTTAAACAATTTACGTCCTTTAATAATTTTATCAGCATTTCTCTACAGTCTAAGTTGAAGTTTGTATAAAAGGAAAAACATTTCCTGCTGCTGAAATCTTTTGAATCATCATGCGAACTAATTACAACGTCCACCAAGAAAAATACTAAAAGGGCTCTTAATTGCCTGCTAAGTACGAACCCTACTAAAGTTCCGTCAAAATACTTGTGAAACTCATTATTCAGGTCGACGCCGGCGTCTCCTGTGGTACTAACGGCCCTCGTCTTTGACGTCAGTTTCTGATTCTTTTTGTCAATGGCTCCTCACACCACCGCTGCAGGCACAAAAAGGAAAGGATTGCTGTTCACTGAAATATAGTCGACAGAGCGAAAATCGTTGGTACCACAATAAAAAGCTGTTGTTTATTGAACACCGAAACAGCTGTTCCCGTTGTTACAGGCAACTGACGCAATTACACAAACGTTGATATAACAATGGAAACATGAAACATTGTTTTTTTCATGTAAGTAATTGAGCCTGCTACGCAAATTTGAAAACTGTTTTATTTTTTTCATTTAGCAGCTTTAAGTTGATGAATATAGTCCGAGCAAACGTTTTAAGGCGGTAATTTGCGAAGTGCGGCTCGTTGAGCCCGCCCGCTTCAGTTATTGGCCACAAAATTGATTAAAATTCCAGCTGCGTAAGGGAGTCTCATCTACTTTTTTATTAGATTGCGCTCACTGAAGACTGTTTTAGTAACTTTCTATTCGTGTTTGACCATTTGATTTCGCCGAGTAATCAGATCGTGCTGCTGTACCTAAGTAGAGGATTCATGGGGTGAGATTGAACCGCTCTGTGATGGAAATAAACATCGTAAAGTACCGCCCGCCGCATGTATTTTTTTATGTTTTAATTTAGTACGAATAAAAGCGTACCTGAATGCTTTCTTTAATGAATTCATTTTAGATTTACTGGGAGCTGTAACTACGTACAGACTTTCGTTTATTATTTACTTTGAGGCAGGTAAAACATTGTTTTGATTAAACACTAGGTAAATTTTGTTTTAAAATAAACGTTAATTATTTAAGTTAAACAAGACAATTTATTTTTTCCATAGATGAAAAAAAAATACATATTGCATCTAAATAATTTTTCGATGTAATTTTTTTTCGTGGATATCTTATAATTAGGTCTAGGACATTTACATTACCCATATCCAATACAGTATTTAAAATAATTACAACATAAATCTATAACAACACATCATAAATTAACCCACAGGCTATCGTTTAAACGATTCGATGTTTTTCTAATTTAAATCAATATATACCTGGCATTTAATTTAGATTTAGCATCCCCCATTCTCACAGGGGTCGTCACGTCACGAGTGCAGTATTCATCAAAGTAATTGCGCTGTTTCATTAAAAGTCCCGGCACATCCTTCAAGATTTGCATAAAAAGGTCTCCAGGCTGCTCTAGAAGCCTCCCCCGACTTAACATTAAACCAATTTTTAAATGTCACTTCTAAAAAATGTCACGTTTGAAGAGAACTGTTCGTAAACGGTGAGTTGAAAGGAGAATTTCTATTGACCTTTTGCGAATAAATTACATGTCTGTTGTTGGTGGCAATTGTGTGTGGGTGTTTAATAACTTTACAAAGTAAATTGGAATATTTATTGGAACATTTTAATTACTTTTGGGTAAGATTTTAAACTGTAATGAGAGAGTACTTCGTTAAGTTAATGTTAATTAAGTACCGGCGTTGCTTTACGATTTAGTTTCACTAAATTGTTAGCTTTATTTTAGGGTTTGTAGTTTATGTGACGTGGCGTGGGGTAAAGGGTGGCTCTTGCATCGACCATTGTTTTTGTACCACCCAAAGGTCTGGCTGGAAGAAAACGCCCAAGGCATTAAGCATGCTTGTTCACAAAGAAAAGAGGTTGTAAGTTTAAAAGGGTAAAGAGCTACCAAAATCCCATTTACATCACAATAATATCAGGAAAAGTTTTATGGTAAACGCACACAACATTTCAATTAGTTTACATTTACACCAAGGACAAAATAGCCACGTACACTCAACTGCCTACATAAGACAGTTCTCAACCAAAACAGATGTTATGTTTAATTTGATAAACAACACACTCGACGAAAACAATTCACGAGAGGATGCGGGTTTTGGCACAAAGAACTGGGAGATTCAAAAGTTCTCCATAATATAATATATATGCGTGTATGTTTGTATGTATGTGTTCCTACGAAAACACGTAATTCTATGTACAGAACTTTGTTCCGCGGTTCGCTCTTCATTTGTTAATGTTTTCCGAATATGTTAATTAAACTGATTTTCCATGGGATCTTTGTTTGAATGGAAAGCTATGTGATTTGTTTGTCAGTAACGCATCATCATCATTATCATCAGCACGTATTCGTCCACTGCTGGACATAGGCCTCTCCACTGAGCTCGGTTTTCAGCTCTGCTCATCCAACCACTGCCAGCCACCCTGCGGATGTGGACACACCACCTACCTGGAGGGCGCCCTACAGTGCGTTTGCCTAGACGCGGTCTCCACTCTAGAACACGTTTACCCCAACGGTTATCGTTTCTTCGACAAATGTGACCGGCCCACTGTACGCATAAGTCTTTTTTAATTTGGGTTTGTTATCGCTGTTTCTGGTATGAAGTCTGACTGAAACAACAGTTTGGTCTGACACACGATTTAAGGAATCGATTTTTTCATATTTGTTACTTGAAAGAAGGATCAAAATAATGTGTCACGTAACATTATTAGGAAAAGCAAATAAACTTAAACAACTACACTAATTAATAGTTAGTCTTCTATCAGCCAGTAGGCTGCGCGACATAGCCCCTCTGTGACTCGAAACTAGTAGAGCTTTTCTCACTATATTCACGTGAGTAACTCGCGCTTTAGTTAATTTAGTATGTACCATAATAGTTATATAACTATAACTATAATAGTTATTATAAAACATAGTTTGTCTTCTGTTAAAAACCGCAAAAACTAATTACAACATTACCCAAAAAATATACACTACAATATTAATTCATTCTCCCGCTTAAATTGCTACATCATGTGGTAGATATAGTAGTAGATTGTAAAGAGTAATACAAAATTGTTTTCCAAGCTCGGAGCTCAAGCCACGAAACCGGCGTATTCCGAACCGCTCGGGTCGGGCGCATATTCTGCCTAACCGTTATTCAACCTAAACTCCACAGCCAAGCTATAATTCAACAGAGTGGAGCACTGAGCCTCGTTATTACAACCTTTGAATACTTCATATTTTAATTAAAACGGAGTCAGAGAGGTTTTGTTTCTATACTCATATGCAAACAACTTTTTTTTTTGAGATTACTGATACGTGATTATTTTGGAACGTTGTGTTTTTCGGTGTATTGTTTTGAAAACATTGATTATTAGGTTAACGAATTATGTGCCTTATACCTAAGGGTTTTTGAAATTAGGAAATAAAAATATTGATAACTTACATGTAAATAATTGCGTGCATTTTTTCCCGCCGTTGTCCATAAAAAGAACCATAGCGAATTGTTTTTTTTTTAACCCGGTACAGTTTTTACTAAAAGAGGTTTCGTTTAATCTACATTTATTTAATCAAATCAAATACATATACCATGCTTAAATATCATTAAACACAATGATTAGAAATTTAATAAGCCTGTAGCTAAATAAATTGAATTTATGAAAATTGTCTACTTTTATCATAAACACAGGCGACTCGAGCACAGGTGACGGGAATCATCCAAAATGGCGGGGATCGCACTGAGACTATATTTACGGCGAAACTTATACGAAGAGCCTCCAACTGTTCCATTATAATAGACCCATAAATAGTTAAAGTTTAAATCTGAACACTAATCCCGATTTGTAGCATCATTGTATCTAATACATTTAACTAAAATGTTATTATTTTTGTTTAGTATTAGCATATAGAGGAATATAATTTAAATCTCTTTGGTCACTTGTAGAAAGTTACTGGCCATTTGTACCAAAAAAAAAAACCATTTGTAATAAAAAATATTATATTGTCATTTATAATACTTTTTCGCTAGATTGCCAGGTTTATAAATTATTTTTAAATTTTTCTAGTGGAAAATAAGATATCCTATTTGGAATAAATTTCAATAATTAAATATAATCGTCAAAAAATTATTCAGTAAGTTAGCAAAATTATCCAGTAGGTAAATATTGATAACTTGATTGACCACCTTTTTGGTCACAAAGAAAAAGATATGATCAGTTCGTGACTAAAAAAAATAGAGAAAATATTTGTAAAAAAGCAATTGCTTTCTTTTTTAGTATGTTTAATGTCATTTACGTTTTTTTCTGACATTAACCAGCCAGGTTATGTTGCGCAAATAATTGTCTGCATAATTAATTCAAAAAAATACTTTTATTTAACATAATTTCTGTCTTATAATATTTTATTTCCACATCCCAGTAGTATCAATTACATTTTGTGAAAAATTCTAAATATTATAAACCGTTGAACGGTTTGAAATAGATAATATAAAGAACTAAAATTGTAAGTGTAGTTTTATTAATGAAATATTATTGTCAATAGGGTAGATGCCTAATTTTTATTTTAATGTC